CAGCAGGAAAAATGAACTTGTCCACTTTCACTAGCACATCCTCAATCTTTCTTTCGGGAAGTGCAATAGATGTGTATGTTCCTGTTGATGTTGGCCACATAACAAGCAGAGGCTGGATTGGAAGGGCAATTTTCATACAAGTGGCCCTCTCCACAGTAAACACAAGAGACTCCAGCAGTTTGCACGGAATTTACCCCTGCTGGCATGTTCATTGCTTTTATCATATTTGTCAAGGATGACACTTGAGCTGAGAGTGTAGTGATGGCATCAACTTCATGAATTCCGGCTGCCTTCCTAGCATTGAGTCTCTCGGTTGGCCATTGATAATTGTTATTGGCCATCCTTTCCAAGATCTCGTAGGCTTCATTGTAAGGCTTAGCCAAAATAGCCCCACCAGCTGCGGCATCAACTATAGTCCTTGTTTGCCCATTGAGGCCATTATAAAAGGTCTCCATTTGAATCCAATGAGGGATCCCATGATGAGGGCATTTCCGCAATAGCTCTTTGAATCTTTCTCATGCTTCATACAGAGATTCCCCATCTGCTTGTTGGAATGAGGTAATGTCGTTTATGAGCTTAGAATTCTTGGTTGGAGGGAAGTATTTCATAAGGAACTTTTTCGCCAAATTGTTCCGTGTCACAACTGAATCCGGTGGCAAAGAATTCAGCCATGGTCCAGCTCTATCCCTCAAGGAATAAGGGAATAGCTTTAACCTTAATGCGTTTTCAGTCACCCCTGGTAGCTTGAAAGTATCACTCACCTCCATGAATTGCCTGAGACGTGAGGATCTTCAGTTGGCATCCCACTAAACTGCCCTACGGTTTGGAGCATTTCGAACATCACCGGCTTGAGCTCGAAATGAGGCGCCTGAATCTCTAGCCTCACTATGCCGGGGTTAAGTCCATGTAAAATAGGCACGACATATTCGTGAATAGCCCTGTCTCTGTCACCTAACAGTGCTGGCTGGGGGACAGGATTGTTGGCATTTACTTACTGCCCATTGTTTCCCAAATTTGCTGCTGCTGCCTCTGCCATACCTTCGACAACAGCCAAGCCTTACTGCTCCCTTCTCCTAGCTAAGAATGTCATTTCAATCTCTAGATCCAAGGGCAACAACTCGCCTGAAATGTGACCGCAAGTCAAGAGAATAAGAATAGAGTAAACAAAACAAAAACAAAAAAAAATTCTACAACTACTTTTAATGATTTCAATCCTCGGCAACGGCGCCAAAAACTTATTGTGTGAATCCGCAAGTGTACAACAAGTAATAAAGTGTACCAAAGTACAGATATCGTCCCACAAAGATTGAATCACCAAAAATAAGTGTTGGAAGTTATGTAATCAACAAATCAAGTAAGAATGAGTTTGACAAAAATTCACTAAAACGAAGTGAAGACGATGGATACATAATAAATGCAATCAAAAGTGACTAAAAATAGCAAGAACGTAATTATGGTTTGTAAATCAATGATGAAAATGAGCTAGGTCTACTAATTTCCCCTCGATTGCAAGTCTGCCTGAAAATGTTACCGAAATGCTATAGTATTTACTATCCCTGTTAACAGAAACTCCTTTACTACATAAAATTCTTCTGAATTAATTATGACTAAGATTCTTTAAACCATTTTCAGCATATTCCTATGTGAATCCAATTCTTAGAATGCAGATGTAAGCTCAGGTTTCTTTAAGTTATGCAAGGTGAATAATATATTCTTATACCATCCATTAATCAACAACTAAGACAAGATTATTGAAGATGCATCATCCATGTTGGATCCGATTAAAACTAACCTTTCTAGTATTAATCTTAATCTTGTATCCTATAATTGATGGCCAGTCAAGAATAGAAATAGGCATTGACACACATGAATGAACATGAATAGTAACTCAATATCATCTCAGAAATAAATTGTCATTCTTACAACCTTGGTTCCATTAGTAGGCCTAGCTTAAACAAATTAGTTCATACTGAGATTTACAAGATCCAGATTTCTAAAATATGCCATGTCTTAATCAATATCAAAATAACAGAAGAATCAAGCTAACAGAGAGAATAAAGAATGATAAGCTAGAACTTTGATCTTCTAGAATTTCTCCTTGTCCTTCTCTTCGGGCTTCCTCTCAGCTGCTCTCTCTCTTCTTCTTTCTCATATCTCTGGTACTCTATTTTCTGGAGGAGGTACTATCTGTGTTGTATTTCTAGAGGAGAGGTCCTGTTCTTTTTTCTATTTTTCCTTATGTACCTGGCGGCTCTTTTTTCTCTCTTCAGATACAATCCTTGCTAGGGCAACAAAAGATGCTGAGGTGTCACTTGATGATGGATGCAGTGGTCCACAATGACACCTGCTCAACTGGCTCACACGGGTTTTTTTGTCTGTTTTCTCCAAGTAGTGCGCTGATGTCATCCACGTGCCAGCTGTTCCCAGAATGCTGCAGCAGAATGCTGTGACATTCAGCCCAAGAATTTCCTGCAAAGCGCACACACAAGTCTTAATCAATTTTCTACCTCTTTTTAATTCAAAATCCTCCAATTAACTTCATGAAGAGCACAAATACAGAATTCAGCCCCAGTAAGTGCAAAACTTGAAAAATCTAAGTTAAAACACAAAAGAAACCAGTAAAATCACTCTCGGTCAAGCAACTTTTGAGCTAGAAAATCATTAGATAACTCTAATTTCTTAACCGTTTGGAAGATATCTTGAGAAAAGGTTTTAGCACCGGTGTATCCTATATGTACTCTAGTTTATTCGAAGTATCCCAATGGTGTAACGCCGTCGACTTATTGGGAAAAAGGAGGAAAAGAACTTGGATCTCCTGTTTCGGAGAAATAAGTGGCTCACGAGGAATGGAAAGAAACATATTCTATTTAATCTCAAAGTCCTCATATAGCACTTCTTCCAATCCTGGATGGGCGATCAATTGTAGGAATGACATAATGCTAATCCATGTTCTACACGGCCAAGGAAGCATCGTTTTTTAATCTCATTATGAAGTGAAGCGGAAAATGAAACTTTCTTTTTTAAGATTTTATATATGTTCTAGTGTGTAAGCATCTCTTTCCTCGGTCAATTCGTCTGCTCATTCAGCGTATGATCTTATTATATATATCCTTCACAATTTTCCCATTGAGCAGCTTCTCAAACGTTCAACAACTTTTCACAACTGTCGCCATGTTATGCTAATAGGGTAGCAGCAATTTTCGGGTTTTACATGCCCTCAATGTTGGTTTCTGTTTTTTAGCTACTTGGTTGATTTTATGATTGGTATGTTGTTCATATGTCCATATATCATACACAATTCATGATGTTCTATTCCTTTAAGTACTATTATGTTTGTTTTGTTGCCTTTTATTTGTTCAATTGGGAAGGTTGTGCTCTTATGGACACTTTAAATGTTGCAGAACTCGGTGCTCGGAGTTGTTCTGGCGACCCAACACTTTGGAAATCCTTTAACAGCAGTTCCATGTGCTGTTTCAAGTGTTTGCCATTCCATCTTTGGTAGTGTCCTGGCTGGAATTTGGAGACAGAATGTGCCCACCCAAACCCAAGATTGAATTATGACTGATTCTGGTTAGAAGAGGTCCCCTTTAGCAAGAAAAATAAAAAGTTTTGGTTGAAAAGTTTGTATGTGGTAATGGGAGTATTATATGTAATATTTCTAACAATGGGCGCTAGTGAATTGAGTTTATAAAGCTTTCGATTGAAATTAAGGACCTGAAAAATAATAGTATTGGGTGGTTACGGGTGTGGCCTAAGGGTAATTTTTCACTCGACTCCATCACAAAATATATAGATCTAATTCCCCACTTTAAGTTAATAAAAAAAAAAAAACCAAAAAAATCATAGTATTTGCACAGTTAAAAAAATCATAATATGAAAAATAATATTTTGAACCAAAAGGGACTGTATGTGATATAAATGTCTCGTTCATTTTATCAATTTGAGTTTTTAATTTTAAATTTTTACAGTTAAAAGTTCTCAGAAAATATCATGTTTAATTTTTTTTACTACAATTAAAAGTTTTAAAAAAATATCACATTTTAATTCAAATTAAAAATTTAAATCTGCGAAGTGAACGAGATTAAAATTTTCTAAGCTAAAAAAATTGTCAAGGCAAATCGAATCTACTTCACAGTAGAGTTGCTCAACTGTGCGTGCTTGAGGGACCCATAATACTTGAGACTACTGCACATTAGAGCTGCTCTACCACGCAATAGAAACCGATTACACGCAATTCTACTATCCTGTATACGATCTCTACTCTGCAGGTGAGCTTATTAGGGTATGTTTAGTTTGTTGATTCGAGTTTTTAATTCGAGTTGAAATGTGACTTTATGTGAGAACTTTTTACTGTAGTAAAAAAATTAAATGTGACTGTTTATGAGAGTTTTTTACTGTAATAAAACTCGAATTTTAAACTCAAATTGATAAAATGAACGGAACTTATAACAACTCGTTATAATTAAGTGACAATCGAGTCTATTGTTTAGTAGAGTTTCTTGACAAGACAATAGAGCCCTCAAATACTAAAGTCTACCTTAGCACTATTGTGCAGTCAAGGTCCTTATAATTTTAACTAACAAGGTTTATAAAATTTGGGAAAAAACATTTGTACCATAATTTATAGTGCTTTAATTTAAAAAAAAATTATTTATTTAAATAACGGAGTTAGGACATTTTATGATTTATATTAGTTGATAGTGTCTTGACAAATAACTTTGATTAATGTAGTTTACTAAGTGAGAAGAAACAATGAGTCATTTTAAGTAATAGTGCCTTAAGTTGGTTATTTCACGTAATTTCATATATGAAAGCTCTAATATATAGCGTGACACCTTAAGTAGTAATATTAATAAAGAAAACTTACATTTAATCAAGGTTTTTTTTTTTTTTTTATAACTACCCGTTCACTTCACCGATTCGAGTTTTGTTACAGTAAAAAATTCTCATAAACAATCACATCTAACTTTTTTACTACAGTAAAAAGCTCTCATATAAAATCACATCTCAACTCGAATTACAAACTCGAATCAACGAAGTGAATGGACCCTTAGTGTTTTAATGTTAAAAAACAAAATTATTTATTTAAATAACGGAGTTAGGACATTTATTGGTTTATATTACTTAGACCTCGTTCATTTTATCGATTCGAGTTTTTAGTTTTAGGTTTTTACAATAAAAAGTTCTCAGAAAATATCACATTTAATTTTTTCTGTTACAATAAAAAGCTCTAAAAAAATGTTACATCTCAACTTAAATTGAAAACTCAAATCCGCAAAGTAAATGAGGCCTTAATAGTTTTTTTATGAATAACTTTGATTGATGTAGTTTACCAAGAGAGGGGAAACAATGAGTCACTTTATGCAATAGTGCCTTAAGTTGTTTATTTCACGTGACTTCATATACGAAATCTTGAATAATCAGCGAGACACCATAAGTAGTAATATTAATTAAGAAAAATTATATTTAATCAAGATTTTATTTTTTGCAAATATAAAAAATATGCGCTCATTCAGAAAAGAAAAGAATTTCTAGAAAATCATCATCAACATTTTGTCATAAATATTATGGCATTAGGAAGGAAGAAACCATCTTCGCTAAGTATAAAAAAAGGGTCAAATTTTGGGGCATAATTTAGTCCCAATTCGCTTGGCATGTGACACTAGTAGATTAAGAAGTTGATGTTGGGCGGTATTTTTAGAAGAATTAAAGGTGTAATATATCCAGAGTTTAAAGTTCTCCCGAGTTCAGTCTCTTTTGAGCTCAAGCTCAAGCTCACCTTAGTCTAAACTCTCCCGAGCCTAAACTCTTCTTAATTGAAAGTTCAAAGGTCACAGGGTGTCATTAAGTGAAGTAACCGACGTCAATTAAAGACATTAAATGATTGAAGATTAATTCACATTGATTGTTTTATCAATTTTAATGCCTGAAAGATGAAGAGCTTTATTGTAATTAAAAAGAGAATAAACTCTAGAATTAATGAAAGAATTAAACTCTTTCAATGTAATGTACTATAAAGTCCCTCGATTTGAGAGGAAAATAGACACTCATTTTTAATACAATTATCTTGAGCTTTCCTTTATTTTGCTCTTGTTATTTTTCTGAGGTAATTTGTGTTCTTTAAGTGTTCATCCAATTTTCTTAAGCTATTTGTCCTTCAATTTGAATTATTAGTTTAGGGATGTTGGTAAAGTGTTAGACGAAATTTTATTCTAATACTGTGTTTTGCCTTAATGCCATTTTTACCCTTCTAATTATTAAAATACTTAAAACATCTTTTGTATTTTTAAAATCAGACTCAAAATACCCAAATAGTGACCATTTTTTTTTGTATTGTAATTATCCTCCTTAACCTTTATTAAGTACAAATTAAAACATTATTGAATAATAAAATCAATTTAAGAAATTAAAAGAACTCAAAATAATTGATGTATTTATTTAAAAAATTTTAAATCTTTTTACTTATTTTTTTAGTTTAAGGCATATTTAAAACAACTTTTGATATGAATGAAAAAGTTCTTGTATGTTAAAAAATTTAATGGCTTCAAGAGTATTTCATATTTAAGTTTAATTTTTAAACACAGAAGATGTTTTGAGCATTTGGTTAATAAAAAAATATTAAACTAGTATGGGAAAATTTCATTTTAGTATACTATGTCATATTAAAATATGAGTTCGGTATCTTATGTTTTTAATAATTTTATGCAGGTGTCTCGACGCTTTAAAAAATGTGTTTTTGGTACCCTGAGACCTTTTTCAGGATGTGAAATGACATTTTTAACCTCTATTTAATATATTTGTAAACAAAATTGAGTAAATTAAGTACACATGTAGAAATGTCATTTTACATCTCAAAAAAGGTGTTAAGATTAGGGTCGGCAATATGGGTCACGACACGACTCGAAAACGACATAAATTTTGCAGGTTAGGGTTGAGAAAAAAGAGGTTCGGGTCAAAATTGGGTCAACCTAAAATTGACACGAAAAACACGAGTCAATTTCGGGTTGGACTCATCTAACCCGAACACGACACGAAACTCGTAAAAAACTAAAAAATACATATATTTTTCATTTCATATTTTAAATTTTATTATAAACTTGTGATATCATGATAGTTATACTCAAAATCTTATACTATTATTTGCTTAATTTCAGTTGATGTTAGTGTGGTATGAATTTTAAATTATTTTTAATATGTAAAAAAATAAATAAAAGTATACAATTTTCGTGCTAATTTTAGATTTACGGGTCAATTTTGTGTCACGGGTCATTTTCAGGTCGTGTCGTGTTCGTGTTACGGTTTTTAAAAAATTTCGTGTTACAGGTTGTGTTCGGGTTGACTACAAATTAAAAAAAAAAGTGATCAAAACATGACACGAATTACTAAGAAACATATTTTCTAAATGTCGAGCTACCCACATAAAATTATCAAAAATACATTATATTAAATTCATATTTCAATATAATAAAAAATTTTGAGTTGTATTTTGAGCAATGAAGTGGAAAGTGTTTTGGACGTTATCTCTAAAATTAAAGAAAAAACATTTTCTCGACGTCTTCAGTTGTGCCAGCTTAGTGGTGGGTCCCGTCCTATGTGGATCGGCGGCCGAAAAAAGTGGATCTCCATCGCCCATCAGCCCGCCTGCTATTTCCAATTTGGCGCGGGTTCATTTTTTCATTTTTTTTGTTTTTCGAAATTTACGCAAAAACGTCAAATTTAAGTAAAAAAACAAAAACAAAAATAACGAAAAGGCACTAAATGAATGAAAATTTCCCGCACAAATTCAAACTTTTGTGGTGCTGTTAAAACGAAAGTTCTTCAAAAATTCGACTGTTCCCACCAAAACCCACCAAATCGAATCCACTAAACTCCCCAAATCCCTCAAATTCAAACCTCCAAAATCTTTCTCACAAAAACCCACAAACCAACTTTCTCAAAATCACTGATTCTTCGTCTTCTTCTTCGTTTTCGTTGCTTACTCATTTCACAAAAATGGATCCCAAGTTCAATGGCTTGCCTCCTCACAAACGACTCAGACTCATCCACCAACAAGAACAACAGCCTTCCTTCTCATGTCTTCCGGCAAAGAAGCGGACGGAGACAAGGGACCCACCGGCTCTTCCCGACCCCAAGACCGAAGCCATAGGATCTTATTGCTTGCCGGCCAAGAAACGGGTTTGGGCCCTTCCGCCGGATCTCATACCCCAGAAGCCCCAATTCGACCTTAATGCCGACTACAAAGAAGAACAAAAAGAAGAAGAAGAAGCAAATGTCCAAGAAGCAAAAGTAGTGGTAGAAGAAGAAGTAGAAGAAAATATCCGAGAAGAAAAAGTAGTAGAAGAAGAAAATGTCCGAGAAGAAAAAGTAGTAGAAGAAGAAAATGTCGAAGAAAAAGTAGAAGATGATGGGATTGTTTGCGCTGTTTGCGAGAGCACCGACGGAGAGCCGTCGGATCCGATCGTGATATGCGACGGGTGCGATCTAATGGTCCACGTTTCCTGCTACGGCAACCCCCTCACGAAGGAGATTCCTGAAGGGGATTGGTTCTGCGCCCAGTGCTCGGATTCCGATTCCAAGTCTTGTGAAAACGACAAGTCGTTTTCTTGCTGCCTGTGTCCGGTCAAGGGAGGGGCGATGAAGCCGACGGGAGAAAATGGCAAGTGGGCCCATGTCGTTTGCGCGCTTTTCGTTCCCGAAGTGTTCTTCAGAGACCCGGAGGGACGAGAAGGGATTGATTGTTCGAAGGTTCCGCAGAGCAGGAGGGAACACACGTGTTATTTGTGTAAAACGACAAATGGATGCGCTATAAACTGCTCGGAGCCTAAGTGTCGTTTGGCGTTTCATGTGACCTGTGGCTTGAATGAAGATCTTTGTATCGAGTACAGAGAAGGGAAGAAGAAAGGTGCTATTGTTGCTGGGTTTTGTAAGACTCACACTGATCTCTGGAAGAAGGTGAGGTTTTTATTTATTTTTATTTTTTTATTTTGATGGGATATTGATTGCTAAATGGATATGTGTTGATTTTATTTATTTTCTTTTTGGTTTTTTTTTTCATACTATAGAAAGCTATTGTATTTTAATTGTTTGATTTATTTTTTTGTTATGATTGTAACATGATATAACCGTTAAACTTGTTCATATACTATGGATTTAATATTTAAGGTGGGTTTTTGATTTTACTAAATGGGGTTTTGTATTTTGATCTGTTCGCAGCAAGAACGAACTGGGAAGTTCAAGATTGTGGCGAGGGAAGACTAGAAGATGGATCAGCTAGTTGGTTTTGCTTTCTCTTTATTTGTCTTCTAGATTATAGGTTTTTCTAGTTTTAGGCTCTAGTATTTTGGTTAATTTCAGTGCTTAGTGTTTACTGATAAGTGAACTGTAACTCAGCCTAAAAGCCTAATGGAAAAGATTGAAAATCTTTGGAATTTGGGTTGATTAGACATTATCCATTGCAGTTCTGGGAGGTGTTTGTACAAAGAAAGTTCAAATCTTAGAGGCTGTTCTGGCTGAATTTGATGTAGTGCTAATGATAAGAACTGACAGATTTTGATGATCTTTCAATTTTCAAAATACTCGTGACTTTGAACATTTCTGGTAGTATAAAGCGACTGATTGTCTTTTTTGTGGACCATCTACTAGAGTATCAATTCTCTGCATAATCTAAGCAAGGGAATGAGAATTGCAAACTTACTCAGTGTAAAGCCTGTTAAGAAAATTCTCAAATTTCGTCCTGTTGCTTTTCAATCAGCAAGTCTCAACTGCGGATTAGTTTGTTTCAGAAGCTTTAGTTGAGCAGAATGACAAGATTCTGGTGTCAATTATTTTTATTAGTTGACAATCTCATAAAAATTCAAAAAATAGGTGAAGAATAAAAATTGATGCAGCCTTCATCGTGATATTGATGAAGACTTGAACGTGGTTGCCATATTGATGCAGAACGTGGTGTAGGATTATTTTGCTGCAGATTTGGTTTACATTTAAAATTTGAAGGCGTTGATAATGATTTCAAATGAGAGCTCAAGTTTTAGGGCTGTTCAGCCCCTTTCTTGAGTTAAAAACTCAAAAAAAAAAAAAAAAAAAAATTCGAGTTACAACTTTATTTAAGTTTATATTCTTTTAAATTTAAACTCGAGTTTGGGACTAAAATTCGAGTTTAAGTTTTCTCTTTAACTCGAGTTTAGAAACTCGAACTTAAATTAATTAACAATATTTTTTCTATTCTTAAAAATGCTATCTTTTTCGTTTTAATTCTGATTGAGATGATTTTTTTATGCGTTAACAATGAAAAGACGAATAAAACTTTATCCATATATCATATTAAAATTTTCTATCAACATTGAGTTTTTATTAACATACTATTTAAATACAAATTTAAGTTTTGATTCACTCAAACACAAACTCAAAAAGATTTTTATCTTAAATCATAACTTAAATGTACACAATCAAATACAAACTCAAGTTACAACTTTAATTCAAGTTATAACTCAAATTCAACTCAAAATCTACACTCAAGTCACATAACTCAAAAACGGTAAAAGAACAGCTTAATAGGAGATGTACTTTTGGGGACGTTTGGTTGGAGGATTCAAATCATGATTTGAATCATGGTTCATGGTTCGCTACAGTATTTTCTCTCACAAAAAATACACGTAAATAAAAAATGATTCTAATCACATGATTCTAATCCATGAACCAAACATTTCCTAATTTGAATTCCAAAAGTGTTGTTGGTTGCGCGTGGAGATGAAGCTTTAAAATTTGAGAGTATTGCAGATAAGGGAAGGCTTATTTAAATGTGAAACTCAAAATAACAATGTGATGCAATTATCATGATATATATATATATATGTGGGTGTGAGTTGCTGTAAAAGATTTGGTTTTAGTTTCAAAATTTGAATATGGCAACAAGAAGATATTATCCTCAAGTGGAGATAATATGGTAATAGAATTGGATTGTGTTGTGTCAATGTGAAGATAAGAAATAGAAGTTTTATAAATAGAACTTAAAATCATTCATTCTATGAGTTTTTTGAGTTTTCACGCATAATGTCTTGAGAAGTTCTCATTAACGTTTTTTGAGAGAAGACGATTTAAAGTGTTAAAAAGAATTCAACCGTTTATCATTCTTTAGGAGAAGAAGTTGAAATTTTTGGGAGTGAGCGACTTGCTAGACGAAAGGATTTCACTGTATAGTTTTGAAAACGAGTGGTGCCCACTGAATCAGGACATCTAGTTGATTTTATCCGATTGGTATTTATAATCGTTGAGAATTAGTGCATATGATTCAATGTTTGGGCGTGACTCCGCGGATGTAAATGGTTACCGAACCGCTATACCAATTTTCTATGCCTATTTATTTATTACTTTCATAATGTCCGTTTATTTCACCGATTCGAGTTTTGTTATAATAAAAAGCTCTTAGAAAAGTCACATTTAACTTTTTTACTACAGTAAAAAACTCTTACATTAAAGTCAAATATCAACTCGAATTAAAAATTCGAATCAACGAACTAAACAGACCTATGGTCTATTAATTTAGCTTGATAAAATGATTGCAAACAACATATGTAACACAATTAATGTTGCAAATGACAATATTTGAGGCAATCTTTTGAGCTAAAAAGTACAAATTTTATTGAATGATTGAATAATTTCTCTCCTTCACTCTCTATACAGCCCTTGAATCTCTGACCTAGTGGAAGGTGAGAGGACACCAACCGGCTAGGCTGCAGAGAGAGCTGTGAATAAATGTTCCCATAAAGTTCATGGAGTTCATAATTTATAGCTCTTTTGTTGTTTGAATCCTAATAAAACTAAAACTAATAATCATAATAGAGTTAGAACTAATTCAAAAGATAAATGATAATCCTAATCCTAAACAAATTCAAATTCTAAAACAATAAATCCAAAATATAAAACTAAACAAAAAGATAAATCCTAAATCAAACACAATCCATAATTCAAATCCTATCCTGCATTACAATCTCTATGATAGCCAATCATCACATAAAACCCAAGTTTGTGAGGGTAATGAACCAGCAAACTCCCATTGCTTCCTTAGTCCTTGCTTTTTTGTTGTGTGAGGCCCTTTAGTATGATGATAACGACATTCATTTGAAGCCTTGGCCTAATATTGGTGTTCATTTGCCGTATCATTGCTAGCACAAACACCTCCAGTGTGCTACACCAACGGACGGGCTTTCCATGTGGCACGAAATACCAGATCAAGCCTACCATTAGTGACTTTGGAGGCTGTTCAACAATGGTATCTGGCCTTTTAAATTGGTCAAGAAAAATGTCTCAAGGGCTTCACACCATTTGCAGAGGTAGAGATGGTGCTAACTTGTGTCCAGTGATTTAAAGGTGGCACTCTCAGCCACGACAACCCGCATGCAGTCTACTCAAGGGAAGCAGGGCAAGACCAATATGGCCGGCCGAAGGTGGTATGTTGTCAAAGGAGCGTGACTAAGGTATTTCCCAATTATAGGCTGCGGTGTGGATTAGCTGGTCTTCTAGTCGAGATAGGGAAGAGGCTATTGACTTTGGATGGTTATGCTCTTTCAGTTGTGTTTGAGAGGCTTAAAGCATAAATTTGCTTATGCAGAATAAATGGTTTGAATTAGTCAATAATCTTATAACAGTCAATGAATGAAATGTTATTTTCTCGAAGAGCTAAAGGAAAATGAATATGACACAATGTCTCCTTATAGTTGGGACCAGCTTTATATATTAAGAAACTCTCAAATATGGGCACTGATGTGCTTTAAGTTCTAACTTAAAAACTGTTTTCTAATCATTATCAATTTTGAGACTACTAAGCACAAGGGGATGATGAATACAACAATGCTGCACCATTTTCCTATGCATGATATAGCGAGAGTTAAAAACTTAGCAACTCCAATGTTCACTGTCCAAGATCTTAGAGATAGACGGCCTTTTGAAGACGAAAATGGAAAGCATTACAGAAACTTTGTAGCAAAAGATGCTGAGAGCAACATTTATTGACGATGAACTTGTGTACAAAAGATTGCAAAAGAAAACGTAAAATTGGCCAGGTTTCAAGTGTACTTTCAAGTTTCAACCATATATGTTTTAGCAATCTTCGGAGAGAATTGAGATTAATTTAGTCTCATACCCAAAAATTCATATCTAAGCTAACAGTTTACGTGCTTATAGAATGATATGTGGTTTAACTCCATTAAGTTCAAGTTCTGCTGTTTTCTCACCTTGACATCATCTTAGCACAATTACAATAAAATGCAACACCAGACAATAAGCTTAAACTGCAATTACAGTGCACGCATTTTAGGCATTAGCCCTCCATTATCTTCATGTAGGATGCTAAGATAAATGACTAAATCATGAAATCAGATTAAAGGATAATCCAAATTGGAAAATTAACAAGTCGAATGTGAAATACACTTTCAAAACCAGTTGGTGCAAACACATTTAAGTTGTTCAAAGTACAATACTCAAATCATCATGACTAACACAAAAGCGTTTATCTACTTCGCCCTAAGCATGTACTTTGCTGCCCTTAAAACTTTTTTTTTTCCTCGGAGGCAACGCCAACCCATGATAAATCATAAGTTTTTCAAATCTAACATTTTGTTAAAACTAAAGGTAAATAAACATACGAGGATAATCTATTCCTTTTTCTAAGCGTTTGAGTATAGAAAGTTTCTTAGATATTGTCTTCTTCCAAAACAAAGAGTCGAATGTTAACCAAAGTTGTCTAGCATTTGTCTCTTGAGCCACAAAATTGATCACATTGTCATCCAAACACTGCCTTATTTTTGCAACGGCCTTTCGATTCAGAAAGTACCATTCTTCATCAGAAATCCCTTTTGGCCTAGCTTCGTCCCCTTCAATGGGTGAGTGTAAATTTTCGGCATAAAGACTATCCTTCATTCTCAGTTTCCAAAACCCCCGGTTCGAATCAGGTGGACTTTTGATTTATAAATTCATAATCATTTTCGATTTATGTGTGTTTTTTTTTAAGAAAAAATACTGTAACAAGCTAAACCATGATTCGAATTATGATCAGAATCCTCGTACCAAACACATTGTCAGTTTGATCATGACTTTACTAACACTAATGTAATGCGATCTGAACAATATGAAGTAAAAATCAAGATAATGAACGAGAAAACTCTGAGAAATCCACCGCCCAGTTCGAATCATTGAGTTTGATCATGACTTTATTGGTAGTACCTGTTACGCGCTTGAAGCCGTAATCGCAGAAGAATCTGAATTCGAGGAAGAAAGCTTGGAGAAAAGAAAAATACTCCAACGCCAGCTTGAAGATAGGAACAAGAATCCCTTCTCACTTCCCTTTCATTTATCGATTTTATTTATTTTTCATTTTTCAAATTTCGGTCTTTCCTTTTATCTTGTGACACTTTTTTAATACGTACCAATAGATTAGGTTTCTTAATCATTAATCCACAAATTATAATTTAAATTTGTATAAAATCACGTAAAAATTAAAATTACGTAGATATAATCTACAAATACACTTACGTACTAAAAAATCTCTTAGAGGTTGTTTGATTGAGAGATTCGTATCCCGATTCGAATCATAGTTTATAGTTCGTTACAGTGTTTTCTCTCAAAAAAATACATGTAAATCGAAAATGGTTCTAATCTTATGATTCTAATCCATGAACCAAACGTCTCCTTAGGGTTCGTTTAGTAAGAGGATTCAAATCAGGGTGATTTTAATTATGATTTTAGAACGAGAACCATGATTCATGATTTTGGGTTCAAATTATGATTCTGAAACGATGATTCAGAATCAAGGATTTGAATCACCTTGAATCAAGAGGAGGGGTGGTTTTAGAATCATGATTTGAGCTAGTTTAAAACATCATATCAGATTTTGAATAATGATTCAGAATCATTCAAACCAAACACTGATTCAGAATTATAATTTAAAATCATGATTCAGAATCACTGTAAATAAACACTGATTTTGAATTAAGATCCAAAATCTTGATTTTGGATCCATATACTAAACGCACCCTTATTAACTATTTCTTAAATTTGATATTTTTTTATTTTTGTTTTTTTATTGCGCATTACATTTTGACATCCGGTCAAAATCACATTAAAATAAAAAATATATAGATTTAATAAAATTTTTAGTGATTGAAAAAAAAAAAAAAAACCTAACGGGCAGTTCACTATTTTTGATCCTACTGTAGAATTCCTTTATTAAAAAAAAAAGACAACAAATTAATGACAAAACGAGAAAAATACATAAATAAATCTAATGGAGGATGAGTATTTTAAATTTTAGTTGCAATATATAACTAACAATAATCACACTTGACTTTATCTTAATGAGTAAATTTCAAACCCCTTTATATCCAACACAAAATAATTTTAATTGAAAATCTCATCTTAATTATTAGAAATTTTCTTTGGTAGTCCGTGTAAAAATAGGCTACTAATAGTTCGTTACTTTTGAGTCTTTAGATCTGTATAAAAATTTATATGTTTTGTATACTTTTTCAATTTAATGTGATTTTGACCTAATTTAACGGTTAAAAATTGAGACTACTAGTAGAATAGACTACCGGAGAAACTCTCTAATTATTAAAGAAAGACAATAATGATGACTAAAAATACCGATAACTTAATATACATGGGTTAATTCTAAAAATGGTCCCTGAAGTTTATCTCAATCCCACTTTAGTGTGTGACTTTTAAAATGTCTCACAGCTGGTTTGAAAGTTTTACTATGTTTTAGTTGTAGTCCTTTCATTAACTAAGTGTTAAATAGTTGACGAAATCTGCATAAATTAGAGAATAAAAATTGAAAAAGTTAAAATTTAGAGACTTTTTTGGAAATTAATTTTTTATTTTTTCATATTGCTTTAATTCCTAAACTTTAGATTTTTGAATCCTTAATTTTTCACAGATTTTGTTAAATATTTAACACCTAACTAATAAAAGGACCAAAATTGAAATAAAATGAAATCTCAAGAACAACTGTGAGATATTTTAAGAGTCATGGACTAAAATGGATTTGTAGTATCTTTTTGACAAGTTTTCAAAGTTTTTTATTTTATTTTTATTAGCAAAAAGAATTTAAAGAGGACAAAGGCACAACCTCTTATATCTAAGATGATTAAGGTTCACAAGGAATATAATTACATAAAAGGATAAATTATCAAACTTTTCGACCCTTATAATACTTTATTCTTTAATTTTTAAAATGTAACATATGTACATATGTTTAATCTATATTATGTTAACAACTTTGTCTCTTTTGTTACTTTGAAAGACAAAATTTATCACGTGAGCATCTTGTGACTCACATACGGGAAGGTATTATAGTAAAATGGCTTGGGAGGTTTTTTTTTTATTATTTATTATTTTTAAGGGAAAGTGAGTTGAAAGAAAAACCTATAACAAACTGAACTGCTAATTTGGAGAATCTTTAAGCTCAATCGCAAGCAACGTGTTAGCTCGATGCTTGGAGCACTTCTAATGGCTGCAACAGAGAGAGGTAGTGGCAATATGAATTCAAATGACAGTGAGTTTTCTTATTCTTTTTTTTTTTCCTTTCTTCTGAGGGATTAAATTTTTTTTTTCTTTCCTGAGTAATACTTGCCATGGATGAAACCTTCAAAAATGCTGTAAAGAAGACAAAGAAGGGAAGCAAATGGAGAGAATATTATGATTAAGAGAGGCAAAAGAAGTTAGAATGAAAATAAGAGAATATTGATCTCATTAAGAGGGTAGCAGTGTAATTTCGTACTCACTATCTCATCAACAATAGCAAAATAAATGAGACGTGCAAATTCTGTCACTTAAAATAACATAATGAGCAAAGTTGTTAATGAAATATAGATTGAAAGGACACATATTACTTGAGAGTATATAAGGGTCAAGAATTTTTATAATTAATCCTTACATAAACATTTTATAGCTAAATTTGATGTTTTACTTTTCCAACTAAACTCCATTTTTTTAAAATAATTTGCTGTCTTCCTTTTTCTTATCTTCCTCACTTTTAATTTTCTAAGTTTAATTTTTGAAGAATGTTTTAAAAAGTTTCTTGTACACCGGCTCTTAAATTTTTCTTTTAATAAACTCTATTATATCAATATTTTTTTTGCTTGTATTTATTATTCCAAATTTAAATTCAAATGAAGAAAATATGGGAACAATACTATTTTAAAAACTATATACATATTAATAGAAAAAGTAAAATAAAGCAACAAGTTGTAAAAGAAAAAAAAATTAAAAGATAATTGTTAGTATTTATTATAGTATAAATTAAGTTCAAAATTTTGATTTAATTCCATTTAAAAATATTTTAATTCCAACTGGAGAGAGAGGGAGCTTTGAGCCCCCCCAGCCCGAGCTCATCGTGACATGGTTACCTCTCTTTTTTCGTGATTCTCCTTCTTTCGTCATCCTCTCTTTTTTCGAGCCTCTCCGTCGCTCGTCGCTCAGTTTGTAGGGATTGCCGTCGATGGTCTCGCCATTGAAATTTCGCGACAATCATCACCGTCACTTAACTATTCCCCGGCAACGACAAATGCTGTAGTTTTCTTTGAAGAGAGAGGGGAGAAGAGAGAGGTGGGGCTAAGGTTTCTGGAGAGGATGATGAAGAAAAGCCTGATTATGTTGCATTTAATTGGGGGGTCTTTTAGGAATTTTAATCGAGTGTAAATCCAAGTTTACATTAATATGGTTTATTTAGTAACAATTTAAAATCTTCACCTATTAATTTTTATTCGTATTTTCATATGACCTATTTTTCTCTTTCTCTCATTATTTTTCTTTTTATAATTATTTTTGCTGAATATTTTCTTTTTATAACTTATAGCTATAGCCTATAGCTTCACTTTTTTCTTATTTAGCCCCACCGTAATTTTTTTTTGGTAATTATAAATTGTCCTGACCCCATTATATATTTTCTAAAATTTTTAATTTTCTCCCCAATTCTTCTTATTTTACACCCCCACAATTTTCATATAATTTGAATTTTTTCTAAATGTTTTTAAAAAATTCATTAACACTCTTAGTTTTTACTCTTAGGTATATCTTACTAATTTAATTTTTTTTTGCTTGTATCTATTATAATTTTGAATATAAAAACCCAAATAAACAACCAAAGATTATATCCAGGATAGTATAAAATGTTTCAATGAAGAGAGTATTTCAGTAATTTGAGCTAACGTAGAAAGTCCTAATCGATTGAAAAAGAAAGAAAAAGAACGTTGACGGTTCTAATCCATTGTGTACAGGTGAAAGTTCGGGCCGCCTAAATGAGAATTTTGGCCCAGTTTGTTATTTTCATCGGCACATGACATGGCCCGAAATTTATAAGGCATTTTAAAAAAAATAAAATAAAAGGGGTGTTTGGGCTAGGCTGCCTCGAAACCTCATACCAGACTTGGATCGGGCCAATAGTGATGGGCTTTAGGAAGACTCGTTTAGTCCGGTCCAAATTTGTAGCCTTGACAATGAGACTGTTTCCGACTTTGTTTTCACATTCATTGAGTATTCTCGTTTTATTGTAGGTAGCATAGAAAACAAATACAATACTAAATGCCATTTTGTAGTTGGACGAGTTCAAAGTTCAAACCCTCAACAAAGATATCATTCTTTATTAATTCATTATCTTTTCTATATATGCGCATACGTGCCTCTTAACAGTGGAGAATGCAAAGTTTTAAATTGGATTTGGGTAATGTGTGCACAAATTTTCTATTACCTAAAAGTAAAAAAGTTGCAACATTTGTTTTGAGCATGATCATGTAAACCATAACAATAGTCCACCGCACGTAATTTATATATAGCCACTATATTGGCAGCCAAAATTTGACTGTACTAATACAGCGCCCATAAAATTTCATTATGGATTCGTCCATTTGGCTGATTCGAGTTTAGAATTTGAGTTTTACTACAGTAAAAAGTTCTCACAAATAGTCACATCTAACTTTTTTGCTACAGTAAAAAGCTCTAACATAAAATTACATATCAACTCAAATTTTAAACTTGAATCAGCGAAACCAACGAGACCTTTGACTTTCAATTCACAACTGTTAACCACTAATTAAAGCAAGTCAACTCTTCAAGCACCAAATCTTATAAGTAACATATATACCATGGAATGTAATATAGTTCTAACAAAACCAAGAAAGCAATATTATCAAAAGACATCATGAAGTTGATCAATATCCAAACCCTGAGCTTGATGTTGCTCGCCATGGCCATAGCAGCCACGGCTCGAAACCCCGTGCGCGACACTTCCGGCAAGCCTCTCCGCCGGGGCGTCGAGTACTACATAAAACCCGCGAAAACCGACCACGGTGGCCGCTTTACTTTGATAGACCGAAACGGCTCGTGCCCCTTCTACGTCGGTCAAGAAAACACCTCCGCCGGAAGGGGCCTCCCGGTGACGTTCGCGCCGTTCTTCGAGGAAGAGAAGATTGTGAGGGAGACGAGGGACTTCAAGGTCTCATTTGCGGCGGCCACGACGTGTGTGCAGTCTACGACATGGAAGCTTGATGGTGGACTGATCGGGACCGGAGATGAGGGAGGTTATAGTAACTACTTTTACATTAGTCCCGGGGAAGTTGAGAACACCTATGTTATAGGGTGGTGCCCAGATGAGGCATGCCCTGGTTGTAGGTGGCTTAGATGTGGGCAAGTTGGGGCTATAATTGAGGACGGGAAGAGATTGTTGGTCTGGGCTGCTCGCTCTGTCCTTCCTGTTGTCTTTGAGAGAGCTCGTTACTAAAAGAATTAGTTCTCTTGTGAAAAGAAAAAAGAAAAAAAGTTGATTTGTATTAATTAATTACTTAATAATGATGGTATTAAAAAGTATTGCAATAGCTTTAAAAATTGACTATCTGATCAGGTTGAAGTTTTGAATAAATGTTTATATTTAATAAATTATCAAGTAATGGTTGAAGTAAAATCTCCATTGAGAGATTGTTATCGACTACTGCATGCATTATAAACGGATTGCTTTTCTCTAATGATTCTCCAAATGAATCGTATGCTACCAAATATGGGCTCAGATGGTCACCTGTTAAATTCTTTAATGGACTCAAAGATCCGGTTGGAAATCATTTTAAAGTATCATTTTAAAATTTTTTTTTTTTTTTTTTTTTTTTTTTTTTTTTTTTTTTAAATGAGGATTTTGTGTGAGTGGTAGACACTATTTTGGACGTTACAATCGGAAAGCTGATTAGAATCCACAGAAGTGTTGTATATTATAATGTACTCTACTTAAAAACATACGGACAGCAATATATCTATCTATACTAACATTATCATTATTGTTGACGGTGTTTTTCTGACAACTCGTAATTACCTCTTCGGAAACGTTCACGGTTGCACTAACCACAGAATCAAATAACAAGCAGTAAAGTAATGTAGAAGGGACAAGGATTTTATAGTGGTTCGGCAATAATTGTGCCTAATCCACTTGTGCATGCACTATTTTCTCAGATGTTTACAAGTTCTCTCTGTAATATCAATGGTGTCTAACCCCTTTCTGGGTTTCGTTCCTTCTATTTATAGGCCTCTGCATTCGATTACATATTCCCGGCTCCCAAGGTGGAAGCCATCTTCTGTTCTCGATCCTCGTGAGGGTAGGTGGGTTTTTCATGATGACTTTTCCTGGAAATACGGCTGATCCTCTCAACCTGCCGCCTAACTTCCTGACTTCTACAGTAGCAGTCGGATCAGTACTTTCCTCCTCGGGTTGACATGACTTCTGGCTAAAAGGACCGACAATGTTCCCTCGACGCAGCGATCTCAGCACGTAGAGCCCTCGCCCGGCGCCTCTCCTCTTGCGTGATCTCTCGACGCATAGGGCACGTTTGCTACGCCTTACCGTCGATGCCAATAGCCGGTCCTCCTCGGGAGTCCTCGGCGTCAGTCGTTCGAAGGAGTGGTCGATGTCTTGACCATGGTGTAACAATTATTATTGTTATTATTATTATGATCATCATCATATAGATTAATTAGAAGTGAACAATAGATATTGGACGTGTTTGGTTGGCCAATTCAGCCTAGTTTTAGCGGTCTACAGTCCAAAAATGTGTTTGGTGAAACAATTAATTTAAGATGGAATGACCCGTTTAATTTGAGCTGAATGGTCAAGTAAGAGCTTAAAAATCTTCCTAATTCAACCTTTTAGACCAGTCCTCTACGGTAAAGCCGCTCCGAATTTTTTTGTTTTTTTTGACTGGGCCCACAGTTTTGATTTTGGTTGTTAGTTGACACTCTCTCGAGTAATGAATGGCCCGTATTTGTGTTTCTATTCCTAATGAGTGCTTCAATTTTTTTTCCTTTTATTAATTTTTTATTACTGTTTGGCATTAGTAATGAAAGTAAAAAAAAAAAAAAAATTCCTACCCAATTCCTACAATTTTTTTTTAATTATTATATAGATAATTTTTTTAATAAATTATTAGGTGTTGTACTATTTCTTATTCATTATCTAATCATTTATTTAATTTTAAAAAATTGCTACCCAATTAAAAAATGCCCACAAAACATTTTTAATTATTATTTAAATAATTATTCTTTAATAAATTTTTAGGTGTTGTATTGTTTGTTATGCATTATATTATTTTTTTCAGTTCAAACTACAGTTTTTCAAGTCATCCAAATGTCAATTCAGATTATAATCTCTATTCAAATTTAAATGCACAACTAAACTCCAGTTCGGACTATTGTTTAAATCACATTATTTAGATTTTTCTGTTCAAATCAAAAAATTTCAAAACAACACAATTTAAACCAGCGAATTAAACGGGTGCATTAACAGTCCAAATTGCATTGCTTAAATGCCAAACAAAAATGTGCACCGATATTTAAACAACAAATTGAAGTTCAGAATAAGATTAAATGAAAGCCACCCTATGATCTCCCTCTTCGCCGTGCAAGGCCAGATCATAACGAGGCAAAGCCTGCTCTATCACAGCTCCGAGAATCCTTTCCCTTAGCAACGTGAGCACTTGCCGCCAGCTAGATCTCGCAATGTCTTCCCTCTTCTGTCATCGTGTGATCAAAGCCATCCCTCTCTCCTCCCCTCACCGTGTTGTTGCGCCCATCTACAAATATTGTCACAAAATATGTTAGATGTGGTGCATGAACCAATTATTCTATATAGTCACTACATGAAATGATGCTTTTAGCAACGACATTGTCATTGTTAAAAGTCAAAAATTCATCGTTAAAAATTTTAGAGATGACAAAGTCATCTTTAAAAGTTTGTAGCTAAAAGTATCTAGCAACGACATTTTGTCATCAGAACAAAAATCAACTTTAACAACAATATTTGTTGTGGCTAAAAATCTTATCTATATAACACACACACACACACACACACACACACATATATACACACACACACACATAAATATATTCTTTAAAACATTTCAAAAAATATATTATAAGAGTGTATATATATATATATATGTTTTTCTTATAAATTAATAGTTATTTTTAGTCAACTAAAAAAACCATATAATGAGAAGTAAAACTTTATAATATTTATTATCACCATCATATGTAGATGATCATCATTATAACATAATAAAAAACGTAAATCGTGTTTTACCATATTCATAATCACCACCACATATTCATAATCACATAACCAACACAAATTCTAAATCAAACTTTATCATATTCATAATCATCATCAGATATTCATCGTTATCGCATAATAAAAAAACCCTAAACAAAAAATCATAAATCAAACTTTATTATATTTGTAATCATCATAATATAGTCAGCATGACAATGATCATGTAACAAAATTTCATTGGATCAAGTTAAATGACTCGTAAAAAATCTTAAAACTTTTTTATCCTGAAACGAGGAGAGAGTGAGAGAAGTGTGTTGTGGATAGATCGTGGAGGGGGTGGTGGCGGATAATAGTGATGGAGGGTGGCGACGAGGTGGCGACGAAGCGCCGCGATGAAGCTTTAGATTGGGGAGGCAGCGCGACAGGGGTAAAAGAGAAGAGAAATGAAGAAGATGGAGCAAATGATGGAGTTCTTGGTCTGTGTTTTAAAATTACTGGACCCGACGACAAGTACAAAATCATAATTTTTTTTTTATTTACAATAACCTTTAGCAATGGCATGTTGCTGCGCCTAAAAGGATGATTTCTTGAAGTAAATTATCACTATGATGATGCCATCCGATTGTAGAATTTCTTAAAAAAAAAGAAAAGGCAAAAGTACAATCACTTACATGTCTATCTAAACAGAAGAAAGCAAAGTTTAAAATACAAAAATTATATTTTCTAAAGAAATTGCAACTTAAGGTTTGACTTTTGAGGATGATCATGTAGATCAAGTAACATATATAAAATAATACATAGCCATTATTCAGCTGTTGGCAGCCGAATTTGACTATTAATTGATAATTAATTTGTAGTACAAGGGACCCTCACGGCAGCCATATAATTTATTATGGATAATAGAATTTCACTTTTAATTCACAATACAACTCTTCCGCGGTCAAATTAATCAATCTTCGAACACCAAATTACTCCTATAAGTACCATCATGATATAGCCATGGAAATAACATAGTACTCATAAAACCAAGAAAGCAATATTATCAAAAGAGATCATGAAGTTGATCAATATCCAAACCTTGAGCTTCATGTTGCTCGCCATTGCCATAGCGGCAACGGCTCAAAACCCCGTGCGTGACACTTCCGGCAAGCCTCTCCGTCGAGGCGTCGAATACTACATCAAACCCGCGATAACTGACAACGGCGGCCGCTTCACTTTGATCAACCGGAACGGCTCGTGCCCCCTCTACGTCGGTCAGGAAAACACCTCCGCCGGACGGGGCCTACCGGTGACGTTCGCGCCGTTTGTCGCGGAAGAGAAGATTGTGAGGGAGACGAGGGACTTCAAGGTATCATTCGCGGCGGCGACGATCTGCGTGCAGTCGACGACATGGAAGCTTGATGGTGAGCTGATCGGGACCGGAGATGATGAAGGTTATGACAACTACTTTTACATTAGTCCGGGGGAAGTTGAGAACACTTATGTTATAGGGTGGTGCCCAAATGATGCTTGCCCTGGTTGTAGGTGGCTTAGATGTGGGCAAATTGGGGCTATAGTTGAGGATGGGAAGAGGTTGTTGGTCTGGGCTGGCCGTTCTGTGCTTCCTGTTGTCTTTGAGAGAGCTCGTTATTAAAAGAACGAAAATTAGTTTCTCTTGTGGAAAAGAAAAAAAAAAAAAAAAAAAAAAAGAAAGAAAAAGTCAGGTCTGTATTAATTGCATGCTTAATAATGGTGGTATGAAGGTATTGCAATAAAAGGAGTTTTGAATTAATATTTATAAATATTTATGTTAAATTATCACGTAATGGTTAAAGTAAAATCTCCTTTGAGCTGGGGTTGTTATTTATTTATTTATGTTAAATTATCATGTAATGGTTAAAGTAAAATCTCTTTTGAGCTGGGGTTGTTATTTATTTATTTATTTTTATATAATACGGAATTAAACCAGGAACTCTTATTCAAACCCCACCCCACTTAAACCGTGCCACTAGACCAAAAATCTTAGGTTGAGATGGGATTGTTATTGATTACTGTATATGTACAATGGATTGTTTTTCTTGTTGTATATTGTATTAAATTCCTTATATATCATACACAATAATCTAATATAATATTATTTGTCTCCTTTAATATGTACGGACTAACATCTATCTACACTAGTACTACTACTGTTATTATTAAATTATGCACTATAAATCAATTAAAGTGTCACTTATATTAAAAACCTTAACAGAAGAGGGTATTTTATTGACGTTGCATTTTTTAAGAGGAACCAACGTTAGGTTTTAAAAATCAGAAGACAGAGTGTTACACAGATTATAATTCAGGAGATAGATCATCTTCTTTTATTATTTTACTTATCATGCGTTCAGGTGTTGTTTGTTTAAGTAGTGACGTGTTAAAATTTAGCTTCCAAGTTATAACAGTTTCTTTTGATAATTAAGAATAGAGGATTCATATTATTATATTCCTAGAATTCTTTTCATTCATCTTTCTTCCTCTCTCTTTTTCTTTCTTTGCTCTCCCTCTTTTCGCTCACCATATCTCTACCGTTGTGCCGTACAAAATCAATCTCCTATTTCATTTTTAATAAATATAAGTTGTGACAAAAAATAATATTTGTTCTTGAGTGTCATTGATATTGTTAGGATTAAAATCAATACCACAAGATCAATCGTATACGTGGACATCATTTAGAAGAATAAGTCAACTAGAATCAATAGGAAGCCAAGATCAACTCGAGACCATGATGACTAGAGACGACTGACGACATGAAGAGTGTGAGGACCACTCTAGATATTTGAGGAAGCATGATTTCTTGGAGGCCACGAAGATTAATTCATCCAAATCATGCATTAAAGGGTCAAATCGGGTTACTAGTAAAGAGGAGAGATACTAGAAAGCAAATATGAAAACAAGAGAAAGGAAAGTCAACTCAAGGAAAGGGAAACTGCTTATTCCAATCGACAACGTGGCAACCTGAGAGAACAAGAAAACTTAAAGGCCATCTCCTATAAATAAGGGATAAGGATCACGAATTAGACATCTTTGAGCTCCCTTATTATGCTCTTACTCTCTCTCCCTAAATTCTTTATCTAAATTCCCCCTCCTTCCATTCTCAATGATCATTGTAATTGTACGATTTACAAGATATAGTAAAACTCCGAGACCCTACAGTGAATGCAACCTTTATATTAGAGGTGAACCAATATAAATTCATGTGTTTATTTATTTTTCCGCACTTTACATTCTCGTTGTAACAATCTATTGACTCAAATCGACTCGTCAACGCGATCAACTCCCGTGAGCGACCATTGGCTAGTAAACAAATTTAATTGTAGAATCCGACCTCTACAGATTTTAAGGAAAGAACTATATCATATATCAAGAATTTAACATCGTCTAAGGTTACATTGTGCTTATCCCGTACATCATAAAACAATTTTTTCTTTGAAAAATAACAAATTTTGAACCATCGTCAAGGTTTTTCGGGATCAATTTCTTTACACACATCGAGTCATCATGTTTTGCTTGTTTAAAACATTATAGTTTAAAGGCATAATTTATAAATTGCCAACTTTTCATGAAGGTATAGGAAATTCTGGATCTCGCTATGCATATATCTTGCTAGCCTCTTAAACTGTTATAGGTTGCTTGCAATACAATGAGATCTCATGATCGAATTGTTTACACTACAAGAATAATCATTTAAGAGACTAAACTTTTTGATACTAAAAAATTTTTGGTAGCAGAAAATACACTTTTTGCTACCAAACTTTGGTAGCTGAAAGTATTAAGGCTTTAGTTACCAAATTTGGTAGCAAAAACAACACAATCCGCTACCAAATATAATTTGGTAACAAAGAACATGACGGGAAATGAAATTTAATTCCTGCCAATAGCTTTTTGCTACCAAAATAAGATTTGCTAACAAAAGCATAAGATTCTGCCACAAAAAATTTGGTAGCAAAATAGTACTTTTTTGCTACCAAACATGTTTTGGTAACAAAAAGTTGGCGGAAAGCAAAATTTTTTCCTGCCCAAGGTATTTGCTACCGAATTATTTTTGGTAGCAAAACATATAACATTTGCAACCAAGTGTTCGAAGCAAAATGTAACTATCTGCCGCCAAAATTTGGTAGTGAAAAATCAAGTTTTTGCTACCAAAAAACATAATTTTTTGTTACCAAATTTTGTTAGTAGAAAACAAGAATTTACTACCAAATTCTTATTTTGGTGACAAAAGGGCGTTTTTTGCTACCAAAAGTTGTGTTTGGTGGCTAATCATATAAAAACATTAATATTTATATTTTGTGCTTGTATTGCTTTTTTTTTTTTTTCAATTTTCTATATATGAATATGTCATATATTAAGTTTTAACAATCATCCTAGTTTATTTTGTATAACAATTGTTTGATAATTTAGTTATTTTGTATAGGTGTAACAAGAGACATGTTCATGTGTATATATATGTGATCTTGTTAATTTAGTATATATTCTACATAGAGTAGTATATTATCTTACTATTTGATTACTTTTTAACATAGAATAATGTATTTCAATTTCAAAACTATATTTTTTTGTTATAATGTTACTAGAACAATGATTCTAAAATAATTTTTATCATCAAAATGTATTTTTTTAATTTTTTAATATGTCTTTCTACTACCAAATAAAAATTTAGTAGCAAAAAATATACTTTCGGCTACCAAAATAATGTTTGGTAACAAAAAACATAATTTTTTGGTACCAAATTTTGGTAGCAGAAAACATGATTCTGCTACCAAATGCATATTTTGGTGGCGAAAAGGCATTTTTTCTACCAAAAGTTGTGTTTAGTAGTAAATCGTATAAAAACTTTAAAACTTATATTTTATGCTTTTATTTTTTTGTTTTGTTTTAGTTTTCTATGAATATTTCCTAAATTAAGTTAAACAATCATCCTAGTATATTTTGTGTAATAAGTATTAGAGAATTTAGTTATTTTGTGTAGGTGTAACAAGAGACATGTTCTTGTTATATATATATATCTATATATATATATATCTATATATATATATATGATATTGTTAATTAAGTATATGTTCCATAGAGTAGTATATGATCTTACTATTTGATTACTTTTTAACATTGAATAAGGTATTTCAATTTTAAAACTATATTTTTTATTATAATATTAATAGAACAATGAGTCTAAAATAATTTTTATCATCAAAATGTATTTTTTTAATTTTTTAATATGTCTTTATGCTACCAAAATAATGTTTGGTAATAAAAAAATAATTTTTTGGTACCGAATTTTGGTAGTAGAAAACATGATTCTGCTACCAAATGCATATTTTGGTGGCGAAAAGGTATTTTTTGCTACCAAAAGTTGTGTTTGGTAGCAAATTGTATAAAAACTTTAAAACCTAATTTCATATTTTTTGCTACCAAATACCTTTTGCTACTGAATATTTAGTCACTAAATTTCATGCATTTTGCTACCAAAATACAATTTGATACCAAATATTTGGTCCTTAAATCTCATGGCTTTTGCTACTAAATACTTTTTGTTATCAAATATTTGGTGACTGAATCGCGTATTTTTTGCTACCAAATATATTTTGCTACTAAAATTTTGGTAGCAGAAAGCTCACTTTTTGCCACCAAATATATTTTGCTACCAAAAATTTGGTAGCAGAAAGCTCAAACTTTTTGCTACTAAAAACCTTTTGCTACCGAAACTTTTAGTCCCTAAATATCATACATTTTTCTACCAAATACATTTTGTTACCAAAAAATTTTTTGGTAGCAAAAACTATTTACTACTAAAATTTTAGTAACTAATACTCTCTGCTACCCACTTTCTACTACTAAAAGTTTTTGGTAACAAAAACATTTTGCTACCAAAAACAGGGCTTTTGGTTACCAAATTTTTGGTAACAAAAAATTCAAATTCTTGTGATGTTAGGACTATGGGCCCACCATGAGGGATTGGGGTTCCAACTCAAAAGGTTAACCTAGTGAGTGGAGTAGCCCATTTCTTTATAAATCCATTATAGCTCCTATTTGTTGCTAATGTATGACTTTGTTCGCACCCTTAACAATTCCCCTTCGAACGAAGTACCACGGCCCCCTTTTGAATGATAACTATTCCATCTATTGGATCCTCCATCGTACCTCTATTACATTACGTGGAGATCCCACCACCTCATGCTCTCCATTGTATCTCTGCATTTCATGGTCTGCACAATAATCTCGAGCTCTCCACCGCGCTTATGGCCCCGCATTACCGTGGTGGGAAGGTCCACCTTAAGCGTCCATAGAATTTTTTCCACCATTGTGACCCAGAGTCCACATCTTCATTCAGCATATTAGATTCATCTCGTGCATACACTCTGCAACATTTGGGTCCCATCTTTAATACCACTTTTTAAGACTATGGGCTCCACTATAAGGGATTGGGTTCCAACTCAAAATGTTAACCTAGTGAATGGAGTCGCACCCTTAACACGGATTTCTTTATCCACTCATGTTTAGCAAAATCTAATATTTGGAAACATTATTGTTCTAGTGGAAGAAAATTCTTCTCTTTTATAATTTTTGTTGCACAATTTTCCACGAAAGTGGCAAGATTCTATATATATATATATATGTACAAGAAGGCCTTGGGACAAGATTGAAGTTCAGTACCGCAATGCATCCTCAGACGGACGGTCAAACGGAACGTACTAATCAGACCTTGGAAGACATGTTAAGAGCTTGCGTGTTAGACTTCCAGGGATCGTGGAGTAGATAT